TCACGATTTAATTCCATTTTTGGTCCAAGATGAATCTTTTACGTTACAGTAAACAACAAAACTAGCGCTCGTATGTCAAAACGTTCTGAGTACGTATAACCTCAAAACATTCAACTTTACGATAGAGCTGTCAGTTGCCATCTTTGCAACATCAGGGTTTCCAAATCCAAAAACATAAAAGGCAACCTCGTAAATGAGAAATTAGTTTCCTCCAACTCCACACATCTTATAAAAACTAGCGGTTATAAACAGCACGTAATTATTCACTTCATTTATAATGGTTAGTGGCGGCTGGAGCCGGTTGTAACTCCACCGAAGTCGGAAATGTAATTTCCAAAATTCGGAACACTAGTATAGTGTGTAATACAATGTAAACAATTCACGTAAATTAACACTGACGTTTAACAAAAAACAATTATTATTATCATGAATAGTGTCCGTGTCGGATATATTTACCTCCCCCGCACGTAGTTTTGGCTTTGATTTACACTTTTTAAAAAAAATTTAGTTGCGTCGACATTAACGCAATACGTCTCTTGAGCCCTTGTTGGGCGTAGAGCGCTTACATGGAGTAATCCTCCTTTACTATTTTGGCAAGCCTCGACGTGTTGCAGTCAGTCAGCGCCTTTTATCCCTTCGGCCATGGGCTCGATGCCGTTAGATCCGGTCACCCGACTAGGAACCCTCGTGTCTCGAATTCGCTTAACCTCCGTAACTTCACGGAGCGTAGTAAACGAATTCGGCTAGCGACACCCGGGTGCTGCACTCGCACTATTGTTTGGACACGTTTTATGCAAATAAAAATATTTTATTTCGAAAACTTCGCTACTCTGATATATATTGCAATAATGAAAATTCTTCTACACAGATTTGTATTCACAAGAACGCTCGCACACTCCTGACCAGGCCAGCTGCTGGCAGACTGACTTCTACACGACACAAAGGGGCTTCCGTCCACCACGACCAACTTTTCACAAAGAGCTCGTGAAATGTACGTTTTTAATCAACAAACATAATATCAAATGAAAACAAATTCTCCAAATATAATAAACAATATATTAAATACCGACAATAATGATCTGAACTTTCAAGAACCACGCGAAATTCATAAAATTAAGTTGCAGCTAGTCAGACAAAGACCGGTTTTTGGCATTCCACTCGAAATGCCTCGGTCGCCACTCAAAGCTCCACAGCGTCCGGTGACAAGACTCCCCGCCCATTTGGTTGCGACAAGTAAGGCCGTATGCTCCCCAGTGTTAAAGCGAAGGGCCAAAGAGTAAATGCAGACAACTTAGTAATAAAGCCAAGAGCGTGGTGTAATACCTGGGTGTCACCGGACACTGGAGAGAGAGCCAGTAACACGCCCTTTGGTTCAAAATGATAACATATACGTCGATATTACTGCAATATCTTGAACATTGAATGCCATTAGAAGGCAAATGTATATTCCTCAAATATTTCTTGTTATCTCTTTTTCGAGGGCTGTGCAACCTAAGCACGAGCCTTGAAGAAGAGCAGAACCTTGTTTTAAATGGACATTTTCGATCAAAAATATACGACCGTTTTAAAGAAGAAATCGTTTAAGTAAATGTGAATTTTTTTTCACAAAAATCTTTTAATTTTTCGAAAAACTTCATTTGAAAGACATTCACTCACAAATGCAATAATGTATACAAATTGCTGGAAGTATGTATATTAAAAGCGTGAGAGATATTTAAAAGAAATACATTTGTGTAATTTTTGATAAAACAAAAGAATACAATTGTCATTTCTAACATATAAATTTTTAGAATGTTCCGTACAAAAAGTTTGAATCCTTTTTAAGAAAATATCGTTTGATCGTTTCCGAAAATGCAGAAATTTTAGCTCATTTCCACGGAAAACTTTTGAGTTTCCGAGAAACTTTGAAATTAGGTACTCATAAACGGAATAATGTGAACATATCATCGCAAATGTAAATATTACCGACGTGAGGGAGTAATTTACTTTCTTTGCAACTTTTAAAAGAAAAAAAAGAGTAGATCAATATGGCGTTTGTCATTTTATAACATTATGCACAATTACTACAATACCTCCTTTAAAGAAAAAAATTGGACCTGTTTTTGAGAAAATCTTGTTTTTGCGAAATTTGAAGCTCTTTTTCACAGAAATCTTTTGGGGTTTCGAGAACCTTCATATCATTGGAAGCACTTGTGACAGATTTAGTCATGTAAAACAATCACTGTTAATGTAATTATTATTGACATGAGAGATGTAAAAAAATTACACTTGTGTAATTAAAAAAAAGAATAGAACAAAATGGCATGTCATCTTATACGGAAATTTAGCACCATCCGTACCAAAAGTTAAAAGAAAAAAATTGATAAGTTTTTAGGATTTTTCTTCTTTAATTTTTAATATTGCACTTATTCCACTCAATATTGCGCGAAAACAAATAAAATTTTCAAAAAATGTACATGACCTTTTTATGGAGAACAAATCGCGGAACATAAGACGAAAAAATCTCTCATCTTCATTTTTGAGAAAATTTTGGAAATGTCCCAGGGGCTACATGATCAGTATCCCCACAAATTAAAGATTTTTTTCAAAATCGCAGAGTTTCATGTGAGGCCAGATTAACAAGGAATTATTATTCAGTTTGGAAAACGTTGTGCTCTTAGTTTAGGCGCTAGTCTTCTTCACAGACAGGCGGACGGGGTTTTGAAAAAAGAAAAAAAAAACAACAACTATCACTTTTGTAATGGATCATAAACTTGTGATTTAAAATTTCTAATAATTTACCTCTTTCCTGTTTCACCCCACATTTGAGCGAGTCAAAATCTGTAAATTAATAATAATTTATTACGTCACGCCGATTTACATTCCTTCAGTACAAATTTATAAATTTTGTGTTAATTCGCGAAGTCGCCATTGTACAGGAAACCGAATTATTATATTGATTTGGGACCCTGGCCCTCTATGTTCTTTCTCCTATCATTGGGATTATATTACCTGCTAATATATACATACAAAATTGAACAATGCCATCAACACGAGCAGCAACTATTTATTGATAGCATTTTGAAAAAGCATATTTCAAAATGCTATCTTGAAGAAAACAAATTCAATAACACTCACTCATTCATACATATTTAAATTGCAATCATACACGCGAGTGCACTCGCTTTGAAGGGAAAAAACTCTAATGGCCATTACTAATAATTACTTAGTTGGTTACAATCTTGGCCTTGTTATATGATTGTTGCAAAATTGCGTCACCTCCATTGTTGCTGGACCCGGTAAAATGGCGCCGTCTCCGCTACTGCGATTATTTGCACCTTCTCGTCGCCGGTATAAAAAGTACACTTTTTTTTTGACCTTCCGCATCGCTAGTTGCGAGAGGCATGGGGAGTACAGTTATTTTCACAAAAATAATTATATATCAAATTTGAAGTTTGTTTTTCGATGCAAAGTAGTTTCTATTACATGGGAACAATCATTTCTGGTTTGTCTACAACGCTCGTTACTATAATTTATTCTTAATTCAACTAATGTTAGCACAAATATGAGCACTAATGTGAGCTCCGGGATAGGTATCCCGGAGCTCAAGAAAACGCGCGCGTATATTACCATCCTTTCGTTTTCAAACTCCAAATCGAAACACTCGCGGACAATATTTCTTACTATGGAACACCATTCTACGACATCCTAATACCTTGCAACCAACTTTTACATTTACCAATTTCACTTTAACCATGTCAGCACTACCAGATCGCAAACCCGTCTGACAATATGCATTTTTGTACACCATCCTCCTCACCTCGCAGTTTATTAAAACAAAGGACAGCTCTTCTCTTCTGACACACTCGCTGTTCATTTTTATATTCCAATTTTAGATGTCATTCATTTAATAGAAGACTTTCATTATTATATAATAACCCAGAGTACGAGGGACTGTGTATCCTTCCTAACCGGTTCTTTATTCTTCTCAAGTCTGCTACCTGCACAGTTCCTTGGATTTTTTTATAGAAATAAACTTTGAACTTCCACCCTTGCACTTTCGACTGTTCTATTTTATTAAATAAGTCAGTTTTTAGTTATCTTATAGCATTTTTTAGTAAATCATTGTGACGCGTCCTCATGGACCGTTACACTTTTTCGGTATCGGGACCGCGATTTCTGTTGAAATCTCGAAATCAATTTTCCGCAGCATTCCGTAACTTTCTTTATACTATCTATATTACTCTGCATTTACGTACGTATACAAAAAAGGAAAAATGCTCCAAGCAATGTATTAGTAGTACCAACAATTCTTAATATGCGTTTGAGGGCAGGAAATTTGTCAAGATATGGAAGCAAATTCATGTGACATCAATTCATAAAAACGATAAAAATCAGTCTAAAAATTTTAGGGGAAGAACTTTATCTACACGAAAATTTGAAAAAGAGTTTAATACTGAAAAACAACCAGCTGGTCCAAGTTATATCAACATAAAGAGCAGGTGCTAGGAACGATATTAGCAAAAAGTAAATAGACTTACCTTGTACTTATGGACTTAGAAAAAGTGTGATCGAATAGGTAACAAATGTCCTACATGTCAGAAGAATCTGCAAGATGGCATGGCAACGAGGACCGTGAACTCGGAGCTATCGGGATCGCTCTGGTTGAAGGCATTTCCCATATGACAATGTTTAGTCTGAGTTCCAGTTTAAGGACTTCTCAGAGAAGAAGTCTGCTTTTCTTCATATTTCTTGATAACACCAACAATGAAATAATATTGTAAATCAAAAATAGAAGATCTTCAAATTACATATGAGCTTTATCTGATCAAAAGTGTTTCGCCACTGTCATTCCATTCGAACTTGTCCTGGCAATCCAGCCTTCCACCCAGGTGAATGTTTTAAGCTGTTTTACACCCCAAAATATTTTGTATTAAAAATAAAATAATTGTTTTCCTCCATTCTATTTAGTTTATTTCCAAAATTGTACAATTAATATATTTAAGTACTAAAGAAAGTCAATTTGAAATGTGATTTTCAAAATGACAATATATTGTAATTTTTTGCATTTGTTATTCGAATGTTTTGAATAACAATGTTCATTGTGAAATTATGGAAAAAATAATAAAGGAATTATTTTTAAAATACAATGCCAGTTGAATAAAATGTAACCTGTCTGCTGCCAACGTGTAGGACAGCACACTGCCTGCAGGCATATGTGCTGAGAAATCATTTTCAGATGTCATCTCAAATATGCCACGAGTGCAAAGGGTTAAGCCATGGTCCCATTAGGTTAACTCTTCTCAATTCTGGAAATGGCTGGTATCAGTGCCGAATATATAAATTAAATAAAAGATTGGTATGTGAATCAAGAATAATAGTGTGTAATGTTTTTCAGTCACTTGGACAAAGAAAGGGTCTGAGACAGGGGCGTTCTTTACCAAGTACGTTAAGATTTTCCTCCAAGAGAAGTGTCAAAGTGTAGAAACAGATACTGTTGAATATTTTTTTACATCATTATTCATTGACTATCAGGAGATTTTGTCCAATGAAATTTTTTCAGACATTAAAAAAAGAGTTGCAGTTAAATTATGGAAGTGAAAGTTTAATAAAACAATCCAAATCAATATTTTTGCCCATGGTTAAGTATGTATTAAAATTGTATTTGCTATAAATCTCCAATTTATTACTTGATAAAAAATTCCCCAAATGCATCAAAACACGCAGGATTGTGGAATTAACATTGTGTGAAAGTATCAGGACTGAAAGTCTTAACATTTGACTACACAGAGAAGAAGAAAACATTTCTTTTTATAAACAAAAATATCAAGATCTGTAATAATGATCTCCCTTGTTATTTCCCTCCCTCTTCTATTTATTAATCTCCCATCATTATTTTCAAGTGCAATTCAAGAAATCATTTTCATAACATATGTTTTCTAATGGTTAATGGTTCACAATTATTAAATTGTTAATATTACATCATGTGCAAATACGAAAAATCATACATAATATGGAAAAGACAAGTAAATCATTTAAAATTCATGACAGGAGTGCGACCCTTTCCCTGAGGGTGTTGCCACAATGAGCGTCAGGACCTCGAGTAAAAGATGACAGTGCCCAGGGACATCGCTGTCTAACGCCCTGCATCACTAACTGCCCGTCAGCTGCTGCGATTACCACTCAAAAGGGAACGTTGCAAGCGGTACGGGTGCCCCAGCCCAGAGATTCTCCAGACCATTGGAAGTATCCCCCCTTTGCAGATGAGAACAATAGATGATGGAGGGGCTAGTGTTTGATGAAAGGGACATCACACATTATACCTCATTTGTTTTTAATAGTGCTGGCAATCATGTTTAACCCTCCATCACTAGTGCATCCTAAAATCACCACCACATCTCATTTATTAGTCTATTAATCTAATTCACGTGTATTCAAATTCAAGCTTTTCTTTGCAACATGTCTCTCTTACCACAAATACATTTTTTCAGAGCAGCTCGGCAACTGCAGTAATGAGGAAAGTCGGGAAGTATCGAATCACCCACACAGATTGGTCGATCACAAGCAGCAATCAGCATTAAATTACAGTGTGCTGCAAATACTGTAACAGTTGTGATTTATTCTCGTCTGTTTCTTTTACAGAAGTAAGAAATGACTGAGTTTCAATGTCAAAATAACTGCAGATTGACACTACATGTGCTTTATTTATATTGGTTTGGACTTTAAGTAATGGCTAAAATGTCAAAGTAGGACAGAAATTGCAACACGTAACCGTTCCTAGTACGAGAAAGTATGTGTCGTAGCATCATTATTTCCCAATATTTGCTTCACATCAAGGAACCAGATGCGTCTGCAATAAAATATTTTAATCAATTCATTAACTACATCATATACTATGAAATTTAACAAAAAACATATTTATTTTCATAAAATCACACACAGTATGATTTTATTTATGGTCTCATTACTAAACTATAATTTCAATTCAATAACAATTATGTAGGCATCAAACTCCCAAATTCTGAATGTACATAAAATGGTCAATATATAAAAAAAAAACAACTACATATCAAAACTACATTAGAATTGAACACATGGTTGCAGCACTAAGAATACTGAACAAATAACTGCACCTTGAACATAATATGAACTGAAATTCTTATATCTCAATAAAATAACATAATTTATTTCAAAGAATCCAAATATCATTATAATAATTTATTACGTAAAGATAGATACAGATACTCTGAAACATCACTAAGTTTCAATAAGAATTTCACAAATTAATCTTAAAAAGGACTTATGATTTCTTTGAAATACCATTAACTGTTTAATATGAACTAAGTGTGTTTTTCAGAGCAAATTATTGCATCCGGTTTACAGTATTTGTTTTAATGGATACCAATTATTAACACTAGTAAACATAATCCAGAGGGTGAAAAACAGTAATTTTTTCAGGAAAATTAAGATAAACATTGGAAGTGAAGCCACATATCTTCCCTAATTTCCAGACCTATATATTACAACTGGGTATAATGTTTTTATGAACTTATCAAACACTCACTGTCTAGTAATTACTCAAATTGCAATCATGTATAGAAGTGGTTAGCTTTAGAATCACAAAAGATTCTTAATATGCTCCATGTAATGCACATGTTCTCAGTATTCTTACATTTATATTCAATGTACACCAGAGATCAACCAATTATTAAGCCACAACCTAATCGAAATTGGTTCTTTGAGTGGTTCATAGTTCCACTAAGCGCAAACGAGAATGGTAGTGGCTGTAGTTTTTTCTCCAATACAGCTCCAACTGTCCAATTTGAATCTACCATACCTGAAAGAAAGAAAAAAAATAGGTTAATTATTGTTGTCTTTTAGTCACGAAGATTCAGTTGAATGTTACAAAATTTTCTGTTCATGTAAATTTATAGACATATGTACTCCAGAAATATTTCTAAGGTAGTATAAAAATGTTAGAAAATGCAGTTCTCTAATAATCAAAACGAATAAATTAACAGTCATTTTCCTGCACCCAAGAAAATTAGTACGAACTAATACATATCTGCATATATTTGAGGCCATATTCCTGGGTACTTTGTAGCAAAAAAAAAAAAAAAAAAAACGAATTCATTCATTTCATTCATTCATTCATTCATTCATTTCAATTCATCTAACGAATTCATGTACAATCATATTTTAGTTTCTTTTATCTTGATAGTTAATTAAGAAACACAAAATCATAACATTAAGGCAGTATATTCGTTAGATAGACCACAGACAAGAACATTCCCAAAAAATTCTTTGAATGAAAGCAAAATCTGTTCTTCAAGATGGTAAGAAAAAATGGCACTTACCGACCCAATTTTTTAATTAAATAAGTTGAAATTAGTACAGGGTTTTGGGGGAAAAACATGCGTGCATAGGTTTTTTTATTATTTGAAGTGTGAAAATACTTTTTCTATTACTCAATAAGTAGTACTTTTCTTTAGGAATCAAATGGTACTAAATGTAACACACCTCACCAGGTGTTCTAAGGAGTCATTGATAAAAACTGCCGTGAAATTCATTGCAACTGCAAGTGTTATACTTGATAATTCACTTCCATTGTAAACAATGTGGACTAATATTCAATGCAGAAAGAAAACAGTATGGGTGCCGAAGTCAACTTAACTTCTATTAGGCATTGCCAACTGAATTGACAAAATGAAAAATCATGGGAGACTATATTGATTGTTTTTCTAGAGCAACTATTCAATTCTTCTCTTTTAACTATTTACAAAAAATTATTTAAATACTTCATTAAAATGCAGCTATTGTTAATCTGTAGCTGGAATTAATGGTCAAGTGCCTAATTTGCCTAGTGACTGGCACGAACATACCATCTTAATTCTAAAAATTGGAGTACCTAAAATAGGTCAGCTCTAATATAAGAATATGATAATCCAGAAACTTAATAACAAAACAGAAAAATTATAGCAAAAGCGCTTCAACTGATTTGTATGGAAAAGAAATAAAAAATAAAAATTGCACAACAAACTGGCATTCAATGACAACTGTTTGCTAATATTTTTAGCACAAAAACAGATTAAAGAAAAATAAAGTCATAATGAAAAACCTACCTCGGAAGAGTAGATCTGCCTTGGGAAGGTCAACTTGGTAGCCAATTGATGCAATTGATTCTTGCATTCTAAAATTTGTCTCTAATTCTACCCCAAGTTGTAGTTGTTCACTTGCCTTCTGATAATAGCATAAGTGTAATCCTGCTCCGCCAAGAGTGCCACTGAATACAGAGTTTTCACCTATACCCAAAGAAAGTCACAATCAGATTTTTTAGGCACTATGGAGGGAAACTAAACAAAATCAATGTGAAATAAACAATTACAATATTAAGTTTAATATTAAATTTAGTGTAATTAAACTAGTGACAAAAAAAAAATAAATGAATGCGCACAAGAACCCAAATGCATTTTACCAATGCTAAAAAGTGACCACATATAGTGTTCAGAATGAAATTCTTTAATGTAACATGGCCTTTGTCGTTTAGTCTTTGGCATGCAATTTATCACTAATCTATAAATTGGCTATTGCCTGCATTGAAAAAGTGTTTCTGTCATTACAAACATGCATTTGATGTGTTTGGAAGATACCTTCTGTATTTTTTGATTTGCTAGTGTGTTTCAGAAAAAAAAGTACATAAACTACACATTCCACCAAATTTTAATATCTACAAACATCAATATCCTAACTACATAAATTATTTTAAAACAAAATTTATAACAAATGCTGTATAGAACATAATTAACATAAATTCTGAAAACATTGAATGTGTACAAGAGAATATATACTTGGGACAATTATTTACTTTCAACAACAGAATAATGAAAGAAATACACAAAAGACAATCATTAGTAAGTTGAAAATTTTGGAGCCTATTATTTTTTTTAAGCGAGCTTAATGATTAAAAATAGTCATAATGGATACATGTATACTTCCAACACTGTTATACCATGCATAACTATGAACTTTAACAATTATAAAATGTCACTCTTAACTCTGCAGTGCGCACAGGTGGTCTGAGAGACCAGGGAAGCCTTTTCTTTAATATTGGGATGACCGTTTGGCTGCCCCTGACCACTGCTTCTAGGTATGTTTTCCTTCCACAGATACGAGTCACACCTCTTAAGAAAGTGAATATTGTTATCCCTTGTAACATTGAGACATTCCAAACATTGCACAGGCTGCAGAGATGACCTGTGTGCACTTTTGCCATGGCCCTCATTTAGTACGTTATGGGAGTTAATAAAGTTTGTTGGGAGCATTCCCTAACAGTTAGTACAGCATGCTATAATGGAAAGTTGTCAGATAGGAAAACTATACCAAATACAATTAAAATAATATTTCAGCCTATTTCATTTTTTGTTTTGTTAATTTGCATACAAACCACTAAATGCAGAAATAAATTATTTAAAAACATATCTCATTATTGAAAATAATATCCATAATTTTTCTTGTACACTCCCTCGATTGAAATTTTATGGGGAAACTGAATTAAGGGAACTGAAAGCAGAAGGGTCTGTGCGACCATGTGCCTGCCAAATACAGAAAGAGGCACAAAAGTTAAGACGCCAAGACAACAAATAACTTCGAGAGACAGAAAAAGTGACAAAATTAGAAATAAAATGGGTATAAAGAGTTAGTACAGCAAATATAAGCAGGACACATGGCACGGTAAGAACTAAGATGGGCAGCTACAATGACACATTAGGACCCAAGAATTGGATGGTGGTGCTAGAGAAGGCAAAAAAAAAAAAAATAAAAAAAAAAAAAAAAAAAAAAAAAAAACACGAGATGGTCAAACTCATTCACGAAAGGGTTTGATGTGTTGCCTCCTGCCTCACAGGAAAGAGAGGTTTGGAGATATATAATAATATAATAGAGAACATTTCCCAATAGCGCATATATGTATATTTCGATCCGTGAGTTACCTTCTTTTGAAATTACGTGTTTTGTGTTAATTGATGTCTGACATGTTACTGTTGCTCATGTATTAACACTATTAGCAGTCTTTCATATGCCAGTATTTTATTATATATATATACAAAATTTCACTCAATATTTATAAGTGTATTGTCAGTATATTATGTTCACTTAAATGTAATACAAGACCATTAGCAATCAGAACAAGCACACAAATACTAAATATAAAATACAAACAAAATGCAAGTGAATGAATATATGTAATTAAGTACTTGAATGTTCAAAATAATATATCTACTTCAGAATTATTGTAAAATAATTTTACAATAATACAATTGCCAGAGGATATTGACCTGTCTTATATTGTCAGAATCAATTTTCATTGACAAAATAAATATAATTTAATTTATAAAATCAATGAACAGACAAGGAAATTTGAGAAAATTGAGGTAGTTTATAATGGTAATTAACAGCTAGATAAATCTTACTTTTGCAGTATGATTGTAGTGTTCGACACTTTCCCTGTATCAGAGGTTTGTATAATTTTCAGTTTGTAGCAGTGTTGGACACACAAATAACTTGATACATTCCAATTCACGATCTCATTAAAAATTTCTAGCAAACCTTCATTCCATCAAGCATGAAAGAAATTTGATACACTAGAAAGTGTTTGAGAAGAAATAATTTTTTATGTACCAGAATATCGTGCCGCTGCTGATAAAACTGCAATTTCTCCACCAGGTACATTGGGTCCATACTGATAAGCTAGTTCAGCACCCAGGGCAATGCTCTTACTTACAGACTGGAGATAATGAGCAACTATGACACCTAAAATTAAAACATAATACTATTATAAATGTACATAATCAGTAGAAACAAATCCTCTACAGAACAGAAATTTCCATACCTGATTCACTTATGATGTCTATGTTTCCAAATGTTAGAGAGGCTGTAAAATCAGACCCCCGATAATCTGTTGTAAGTTGAGCTGCAGTAAACTTATTGTTATTAATTTGAGTAGCAAACTTTGTCCTTACACATGGGCCAAACTGATGAATAATATTTGCATTCAAATTTCCACTTGGGTCAATATCTCCCAAAAGCACAGGAAATGCCTCATTTGGAGAATATTGTTTAGTGCCAACATATGTTGCACCAAATCGATATCCCGAGGGAGCCACACTGCTCATGTTTACAGTATGTGATACTTGAAAATGATTGCTGAGTCCCTTATTTACCATAAGTTTTGCACCTTCAAAAATGACTGGGAACACATCTGCAAGAATAAAATACGTACTCTAATTTATAACCTGGTAATTAGTAGGACTTGTCATAGAAGGGATCAAATAACACCTTGAATACTCACCTTTGCACTTTTTATGCAAGTCTTCCATTGTACCTGGATTCTCCAAATTATCCTTACTGCTTCGAGCATCTTGTGCAAGTGCGGTTGAATCGCTGGCCTGAGATTTTCCTCCAGATCCTTCAGATTTTGAGGCTGATGGAAAATTAACAGTGAGAGGAGGTGGTGGCGGCGCGGCAATATTCGGAGGTGGTGGAATGTTAACATTGCTCGCAGCCATTACATTTCCCATTTCTCACAAATATCAAAAAACAAAATTTAACTGTGATATAAACAATGACTCACTATTCTTCTCAAACGCTATTGGCGTTTTTACTATATTAAACAACTATTACACACAAAGCATGTTATATGGACGCAGCCATTTGTAATTGCCAAACCTCTCTCATTGGTGCAACGACGTTCAATCAACAGAAGAGAATCAATAGTAATATCATTGACTATGTCGGACTTCCTTCGCGCTTTTGCTGTTGAAGTCAACCGTGTTGTTTGTT